GGTCTTTTTTTTCAGTGTCGGCATAGTTTTATTTGAAATGTTTTATCGGCCGTTGTTACCTGGCATGGAAAGGATATCCATTTTGAAGACTTTGAGAAATTGTTTTTTTTTTCCTGACGACTTTGCGACTGAAGTTCCAGAGGTTATTTTTTTTTACACCACACATTAGTTGTATCTAATTTTTTTGAAATTTTTTAGGTACATCGTAAAACGGCTAAAGATCTTATAAAATTAATGCTCACGTTGTCCCCCGATGAAAGACCTTCAGTTCGTGATGTATTAGAGAGTGAACGCATTCCATTGATCGAACTCGAAGAGAGCGAATTTCAGGTAAATGGTTTTTATGATATTATATCAGTGATTATTATTTTAAAATCGTTTGGTAATTTAATGGTTTTTAAACAGTTTGAATCTGCTTTCTAGGAGTTTAATGAATTCTTTTTTCCAAATATTGAGTTTCTGGAAATCGCTGGCTTTAGAAATTTTCGCTTTAGAGTTTCTTGTCTGTTTTATAAGGCATTTTTTTAATTTATTAAATTTCTGTTTTAAGTATTTTTTTACCGTTTAGAAGATATTTTCCCAGACATATCGCTCGAGGAACAGTAAACTGCGCCAGTGGATGCTCGATACTATGTTCTCTGAACCAGTGCCACAAGCAGTGGATTTCTTGTATGACCAATTTATATGTTTGCCAAAGGTGCATTCTTGTTTCTCTTAACTTAATCACAAGCAGAGTTTTCAGATTACTCATGTTTCCATGTTGATTATTTTCAATTAGGGTTACTAAATTTTTAGAGCTTTATTGACTGATGAGGATATAGACTTAGAAGTTTCCTTCTAATAAAAAATTGCTGAGAAAATATTCATAAGAACTTTAGAATAGTCTTGGAATTCCTGCAGTTCGAGCTATGGATATGATAGAGCAACAGCTTTCAAAGATATGCCTAAATCATGCCTTTGTGAAATTTCCTGCTCATTCGATTGTTCCGTCTCGGTTGTCGCCGAGCGCTGTTTCTAGGATGAAAGAATGCAAGTTTATAGATGACTGTGGCACAAGCGTTTCGCTTCCGGTAGGCTCATATTATGTTTTTTTTGCCGCTCTTTGTAACTTAAAAATTTATTGTTTTTACTGGAGGTAATCTTTCATTGCCGACAATTCGTTTTTTTGGTTAAAAGAATTTTTATACGTTTGAAATTACTTGTTGAAGTTTTAATGTAACCTTTTGACAGTGTTTTTCATCTCTTATTCAGTTATTTTTCCTCAGTTCAGCCTTTTTAACCTTGTTTCGTTTTTAATTATTCACTATTATAATGGAGTCATAACGTTTTTTTTTCAGTTTGATTTGAGAAGGGCATTTGTACGGTATTGCGTTCGTAATGGTATTAATCGTTTGAAAAGGTTTCATTCCGGGAAAGTCTACGGATATACCGATGAACTTGGTTTCTTATCTTCGTTTTTGAAGCTTTCCTAAGTCTTTCTTGACAGGCCATTATAAGAAATTGCAGTTCATGCTGCTTTGAAAATCTACATTCCTCTGGACAATAAAAATAAATTTACTAATGATCAAAAACGTTTTGAACTGAAGTATTCTTTATGACAATTACAGCTGGTACTCATCCTGCAGAAAGGTCAGAATTTTCTGTGGACTATTTGGGACCGCATAGTTCTTCACCTTTATTGGATGCCGAGATACTTATTATTACTTTAGAAGCAGTTTCCTGCATTGAACTGTTTCAATCTTTCAAATGGGAACTGAAAGTTGGGCATCTTTCTTTAATCGCAGCAGCTGCTACATATTTAGGATACAGTGATAGCAGTGCTCAAATGAAAATTCTAAACGCTCTTCATAAAATTTCGAGTTCGGAAGGTATCATTTTTTTTTTAATGAAAGAAGTCAAGTTTTTGAGTGACAGTTCTCTGCCCGGTGTATTCTTAATTTTTGAAATTCAAAGCTCTATATGCAGTATTTTTTCTGCACCTTGAATTCCCATAAAGATAATTGGGTAGTATTTTATCTCTTTATTAGTTTCTGAAATGTTGGAAACACAGTTAAGTTATTCAGAATTGCTAAATAAAAAGCAGCGAATTGACCGGCTTCAAACTTGTGCTGAAATGTCGCAGAATCAAGCAACTTCATTGCTCAGCATCCTTGAGGGGGACGAATTTACAATGAATGCTCTTCGTGAGCGCTTCCGTCCACTTCTGCGTAGTCGCAACGATATGGTTAGAGAATTTGCTAAGAAAGGTCTTGACGATTTGACAAGCTGTTGCGGTATCCTGGAGACTTTTAGTGGTATTTCATTTTATTATAGTTAGTGGGAAAATTTGGTGTTTCTGTGCACGCTTTTCACTTTAATAAATACCGACTTTGAAAAATTTTCCTGTGAAGCGCTTGTAACTTTCTGTCAGACCCTTCGCCAAGTTAGACACATTGAAT